GGTCATGTTGGATAAGTAAAGTAAAGATCCCTTTTCATGCCTGTAGGCGTATCGGGCACATGGGAAGAGCACCCATATTTGTACAGACCGTCGGCACTAGGTGGGTCATGGGGTCAGCATTGTGCCAGTCATGTTGGGTGGGTTTTGGAAAAGGGGAAACAGGTGGGGGAGGGGGGAGAGTTGAAACAGGTTGGAGGTCAGTGAACTAGACGGTGTTAGTGTGAAGCACGTGCACGCTAGAGCTGGACACATCAGCCTCTGACCCACACAACCATCTATGGCGCATTCTCATGGAAGGAGACAGGAACACGTTCCCGCATTCATGGTGACTACTTGTGGCGAGATGCTTCAGGTGTCTCATAAACCCGGTCAGACATTGACCATAGTCCAGCAATAGGTGCTCCAGTAGCCGAGAATATCAGGCCGGACTATGTCCAAGTTTTAACGTGTATGGGAGCCGCCCTGTTGTAGCAGCTAGACGCTCGCCTGTGGATGGGGACTTCATGGGTTCAAATCAGAACGGAATTGGTCTTTTATAATGATCTTGGCTTCCAGATTGACCCAGCTTTAAAGTAGTGGGAAGTAAAGGCGGCCGGTGTGATGTTACCCACTGAGTGCCGAATGGTCTAAAAAAATATAGGTCTAGCCCTATATGCCCAATACGTCTGGGGGCCTGGACAGGGATCCTTTTCTTTAACTTGATGGCGTGTGTTCTGTCATTGTGTTCCCACTACCATACGACATGCTTGATTTGTTCAGTGGAGACTAGTTACGTGCTAGATATACTGGGATGATGGATGTCTGGGAAAACACAGATGAACCCCAGCGCGACTGGTTGATGGTGTCCCCCGGCTAGCGAAGCTCTCAGTGTGTGTAATGTCTGTGAGATGTCAGTACGGCTAGAGAAGCTCTCAGTGTGTGTGTGTGTGTGTGTGTGTGTGTGTGTGTGTGTGTGTGTGTGTTTAATGTCTGTGTGTTGTCAGTACGGCTAGAGGAGCTCTCAGTGTGTGTAATGTCTGTGTGTTGTCAGTACGGCTAGAGAAGCTCTCAGTGTGTGTGTGTGTGTGTGTGTGTGTGTGTGTGTGTGTTTAATGTCTGTGTGTTGTCAGTACGGCTAGAGGAGCTCTCAGTGTGTGTGTGTGTGTGTGTGTGTGTGTGTGTGTGTGTGTGTGTGTGTGTGTGTGTGTAATGTCTGTCTGTTGTCAGTACGGCTAGAGAAGCTCTCAGTGTGTGTAATGTCTGTGTGTTGTCAGTACGGATAGAGGAGCTCTCAGTGTGTGTAATGTCTGTGTGTTGTCAGTACGGCTAGAGAAGTTCTCAGTGTGTTTAATGTCTGTGTGTTGTCAGTACGGCTAGAGAAGCTCTCAGTGTGTGTAATGTCTGTGTGCGTCAGTACGGCTAGAGAAGCTCTCAGTGTGTGTAATGTCTGTGTGAGACGTCAGTACGGCTAGAGAAGCTCTCAGTGTGTGTAATGTCTGTGTGTTGTTAGTACGGATAGAGGAGCTCTCAGTGTGTGTAATGTCTGTGTGTTGTCAGTACGGCTAGAGAAGCTCTCAGTGTGTGTAATGTCTGTGTGTTGTCAGTACGGCTAGAGAAGTTCTCAGTGTGTGTAATGTCTGTGTGTTGTCAGTACGGATAGAGGAGCTCTCAGTGTGTGTAATGTCTGTGTGTTGTCAGTACGGCTAGAGAAGTTCTCAGTGTGTGTAATGTCTGTGTGTTGTTAGTACGGCTAGAGAAGTTCTCAATGTGTGTAATGTCTGTGTGTTGTTAGTACGGATAGAGAAGTTCTCAATGTGTGTAATGTCTGTGTGTTGTCAGTACGGATAGAGAAGTTCTCAGTGTGTGTAATGTCTGTGTGTTGTCAGTACGGATAGAGAAGTTCTCAATGTGTGTAATGTCTGTGTGTTGTTAGTACGGATAGAGAAGTTCTCAGTGTGTGTAATGTCTGTGTGTTGTCAGTACGGCTAGAGAAGTTCTCAATGTGTGTAATGTCTGTGTGTTGTCAGTACGGCTAGAGAAGTTCTCAATGTGTGTAATGTCTGTGTGTTGTCAGTACGGATATAGAAGTTCTCAATGTGTGTAATGTCTGTGTGTTGTCAGTACGGCTAGAGAAGTTCTCAATGTGTGTAATGTCTGTGTGTTGTTAGTACGGATAGAGGAGCTCTCAATGTGTGTAATGTCTGTGTGAGACGTCAGTACGGCTAGAGAAGTTCTCAGTGTGTGTAATGTCTGTGTGTTGTCAGTACGGCTAGAGAAGCTCTCAGTGTGTGTAATGTCTGTGTGTTGTCAGTACGGCTAGAGGAGCTCTTAGTGTGTGTAATGTCTGTGTGAGACGTCAGTACGGCTAGAGGACGTCAGTGTGTGTATGTCGGCTACGGAGAAGAGCTCAGTGTGTGTAAATGTCAGTACGGCTAGAGGAGCTCTCAGTGTGTGTAATGTCTGTGTGAGACGTCAGTACGGCTAGAGAAGCTCTCAGTGTGTAATGTGTGTAATGTCTGTGTGAGACTCTCAGTACGGCTAGAGAAGCTCTCAGTGTGTGTAATGTCTGTGTGTTGTCAGTACGGCTAGAGAGCTCTCAGTGTGTGTAATGTCTGTGTGTTGTCAGTACGGCTAGAGAAGCTCTCAGTGTGTGTAATGTCTGTGTGAGAGTCAGTACGGCTAGAGAAGCTCTCAGTGTGTGTAATGTTGTCAGTACGGCTAGAGGAGCTCTCAGTGTGTGTAATGTCTGTGTGAGACGTCAGTACGGCTAGAGAAGCTCTCAGTGTGTGTAATGTCTGTGTGTTGTCAGTACGGCTAGAGAAGCTCTCAGTGTGTGTAATGTCTGTGTGTTGTCAGTACGGCTAGAGAAGCTCTCAGTGTGTGTAATGTCTGTGTGAGACGTCAGTACGGCTAGAGAAGCTCTCAGTGTGTGTAATGTCTGTGTGTGTTGTCAGTACGGCTAGAGGAGCTCTCAGTGTGTGTAATGTCTGTGTGTGTTGTCAGTACGGCTAGGGGAGCTCTCAGTGTGTGTAATGTCTGTGTGTTGTCAGTACGGCTAGAGGAGCTCTCAGTGTGTGTAATGTCTGTGTGTTGTCAGTGTACGGTCAGTACGGCTAGAGGAGCTCTCAGTGTGTGTAATGTCTGTGTGTTCGTCAGTACGTCAGTACGGCTAGAGTAAAGCTCTCAGTGTGTGTAATGTCTGTGTGAGACGTCAGTACGGCTAGAGAAGCTCTCAGTGTGTGTAATGTCAGTACGGCTAGAGGAGCTCTCAGTGTGTGTCAGTACTGTGTGCTACGGCTAGAGAAGCTCTCAGTGTGTGTAATGTCTGTGTGTTGTCAGTACGGCTAGAGGAGCTCTCAGTGTGTGTAATGTCTGTGTGTTGTCAGTACGGCTAGAGGAGCTCTCAGTGTGTGTAATGTCTGTGTGAGACGTCAGTACGGCTAGAGAAGCTCTCAGTGTGTGTAATGTCTGTGTGAGACGTCAGTACGGCTAGAGAAGCTCTCAGTGTGTGTATAATGTCTGTGTGTTGTCAGTACGGCTAGAGGAGCTCTCAGTGTGTGTAATGTCTGTGTGTTGTCAGTACGGCTAGAGGAGCTCTCAGTGTGTGTAATGTCTGTGTGAGTTGTCAGTACGGCTAGAGAAGCTCTCAGTGTGTGTAATGTCTGTGTGAGACGTCAGTACGGCTAGAGAAGCTCTCAGTGTGTGTAATGTCTGTGTGAGACGTCAGTACGGCTAGAGAAGCTCTCAGTGTGTGTAATGTCTGTGTGTTGTCAGTACGGCTAGAGGAGCTCTCAGTGTGTGTAATGTCTGTGTGAGACGTCAGTACGGCTAGAGGAGCTCTCAGTGTGTGTAATGTCTGTGTGAGTACGGCTAGAGAAGCTTTCAGTGTGTGTAATGTCTGTGTGAGACGTCAGTACGGCTAGAGGAGCTCTCAGTGTGTGTAATGTCTGTGGACGTCATACGGCTAGAGGAGCTCTTAGTGTGTGTAATGTCTGTGTGAGACGTCAGTACGGCTAGAGAAGCTCTCAGTGTGTGTAATGTCTGTGTGTTGTCAGTACGGCTAGAGGAGCTCTCAGTGTGTGTAATGTCTGTGTGAGACGTCAGTACGGCTAGAGAAGCTCTCAGTGTGTGTAATGTCTGTGTGAGACGTCAGTACGGCTAGAGGAGCTCTCAGTGTGTGTAATGTCTGTGTGAGACGTCAGTACGGCTAGAGAGCTCTCAGTGTGTGTAATGTCTGTGTGTTGTCAGTACGGCTAGAGAAGCTCTCAGTGTGTGTAATGTCTGTGTGTTGTCAGTACGGCTAGAGAAGCTCTCAGTGTGTGTAATGTCTGTGTGTTGTCAGTACGGCTAGAGAAGCTCTCAGTGTGTGTAATGTCTGTGTGTTGTCAGTACGGCTAGAGGAGCTCTCAGTGTGTGTAATGTCTGTGTGTTGTCAGTACGGCTAGAGAAGCTCTCAGTGTGTGTAATGTCTGTGTGTTGTCAGTACGGCTAGAGAAGCTCTCAGTGTGTGTAATGTCTGTGTGAGACGTCAGTACGGCTAGAGAAGCTCTCAGTGTGTGTAATGTCTGTGTGTTGTCAGTACGGCTAGAGAAGCTCTCAGTGTGTGTAATGTCTGTGTGTTGTCAGTACGGCTAGAGCTAAGAGTGTGTGCTGTCAGTGTGTGTCAGTACGGCTAGAGGAGTCTGTGTGTAATGTCTGCGTTGTGTCAGTACGGCTAGAGAAGCTCTTAGTGTGTGTAATGTCTGTGTGTTGTCAGTACGGCTAGAGAAGCTCTTAGTGTGTGTAATGTCTGTGTGTTGTCAGTACGGCTAGAGAAGCTCTTAGTGTGTGTAATGTCTGTGTGTTGTCAGTACGGCTAGAGGAGCTCTCAGTGTGTGTAATGTCTGTGTGTTGTCAGTACGGCTAGAATGAGTATGGTAATTACTGTAATATCAATAATGATTGCAATGATTGTGTTCACGTTAGTTGTGGTGGTAACGATTGCACTCACAACGAGACTGACAACAAATGTGACAACTGACCTGACGAGTTGAGCGAGTCGGAAATCTTGCCGTGGTCCGGCGAGTCCAGAAAGGAGAAAGAGTTCATGTCCGGCCCCGATGTGGGAGACAGCCGTTGTGGAGTTTTCCGCTCACCCAGGAGACCCTCCATGAGCCCGCCGCCGTGAACAGAGCCGGGGGCAGAGACAAGGGAAGCCGACATGGTTGACCGCCCCGAGGGGTCATCTTGCAGCATGCGATGGTGGTGACGCAGTGAACAGTCCAGAGCAGCTATCTGGTCAGCCGGAGTTTGGTAACCGAACTGGGGAAGCGACATGGAGTATCCATGGTGATAGTTGACAGCTGTCATGGAAGACATAGCGGCGAAAGCCCCCGGGTAGGTGGCAGCAAAGAGGCGTATGTCTTGGAGACTCATTGATTCGGTGGTCTTATCTTACTTGAAATATCTTCCGGCAATTGAGGAAAGCACCACGATTGTCTGATACAGACTTGCTGCTGTCTTACTTCTCCCAAGACATGGTCAGTAATGTGTTTTCTTTGTGCATGAGTCAGTCAGTGAGAACAAGACGGAGGTCATGCCTAAAACAAGCAAGCCCTATAGTTCTCACCTACTGTCAAGTGATTTGTGTTTCTCTGGCAGATGTATTCATAAATATACCTGTCTATACAAAAGTGAACGTATGTTTTCTTGCGGTGTGCGAACCTTGTCAACGGACTTACAGTTTTTCAGTTAACATCAAACTATTCAAACAGTCCTTGTAACTTTTCATAAAATATAGTCTCTGCTAATCTGTGACAGGCGTAAATTAATTATTGTAAAAACAGACAAGTTCTTGTAACTTAGTTAAAATACATATTCCGTCTTGTCTTGCATTAAACACAGTTGATTGTTATAACTTGTAATACAATTATTGACCACTGCTATCTGTTCTGTAAACATCCACTGGTCAGTTCAAGTGAGTGACAACAGAAAAGACAGTGACAGCTGACTGGTCAAGCGCTGTCTCTGACAGCGCGATGGACGACAGATACATGCACACGTGCAAACAACTAGCCGCGGTCTCAACTCCAACTTATGCGTTTTATTTCCAGCACTAGAGAATTAGCCGGCAGAAAACTTCTGTCAATTGAAGCATGTTGAGATTTGATCAAATTTGGACAAACCGTTGCCTCTAGAAAGTTACAGCCCCGTGGTTGTGTCGCCAGCCGCCGCTGCGTATCCACCAATCAGATTGCTTGTATCGATTGCTAATCTGCAGTGGGCAACGCCTTCTCTGCCAATCACGAGCTCAACCGCAGAACGTGAGCCTATTAGGGCATGTCTCTAGTGGACACGGGGTGCGACAGACGTCTATCGGTCCTTGTCCCCACCTCCTCATCACTGTTGACACATGTGATGTTTTATCCCAGTCGTGTATGCCCAGGGGAGTTGACGATGTAGCATTTGGTTTCACTGACCCGTGGCGATCCGTATTATAAATTCGTTTTTCTGCATGATCCAGCATCGTTGCTGTCATCGAGTGGGCTGATTAAATAAATGTTCACTCCCAGGCATGTGGGTTCAAACCCAGACATGCCGTGGAGTAAGTAGGTTGTCCATCTACAGCGACATTTGCTGCTCGTTCCTCTGTGTGGGTGTCAGTCAAGGACAGGCAGATGCCGAAGAAGCCAAAGATTATCTGCTCGGCGCGCTAGATAAGTTGGTTAAACCAGCTGCGCGGCGAATGGGTGACAAACTCTTTGTGATCTGAGTTCACGGTCACGGGTAGGCAGAAACTCAACATATTTAGGAGATTTGCCGTATCTATCATGGAATCAAGGCCGAAGGGTTGCGATATCTATAGTACTGGGCCAAAGTTTACAACTCAAGGTGTTTGGTTTTTTTTTTTTTTTTTTTAGCTAAGGAGTATTTTGCTCTGTGGCTAAGTCAATGCGTTGACTAGTTCCCCTGAATGAATGTTGAGCGTCGACTAGTTCCACTGAATGAATGTTGAGCGTCGACTAGTTCCCCTGAATGAATGTTGAGCGTCGACTAGTTCCACTGAATGAATGTTGAGCGTCGACCCGTTCCCCTGGTCACACCTTGCAGTACTATTCTCTCCAGAACGTGACACTCCATCTGTGCCTTCGCCCTGTTCACTCGCCCCAAAAGGGCCCTCACAACGGCTAGCTTGTCCAACATCAGCTCACTACTAAGTTGTGCAGAATTAGACAGTCTGTCTGCCTGTTCATTTCCTAAAACACAGGCATGACCTTGGGAGGCAGTCACTTCTGCCTTACGCTGGCTTGAGAATCATCTGTACACACATGTCGTGAGTGTAACTGACTCACAGAGCATGTTAAGAAAGTTGGAGATAGGCAGGCTCTGTGCAGAGTGGCAAGCATTGCTTCAGAGGTATCAGGTAGTTAGCGTCCTCTGAATATTTTCTCCGGGTTATGCGGCGTATGTTGGGAAACAGACAGACAGGCAGACAGACTGGTCGGTTCTGCACCACTTGGTAGTGAATCGATGTATGACAGG